ACACATCTTTATTGAGAGAGATATAATCAGAGATCAGGGAATGAGTAAGCTGACATTGAAGCTGATATCTGAGGAATGAGCATGCCTTTATCCAAAGAAAGAGAGGAAGAACTTCAAACGTTCTCTCTCACCCTACACAGAATACCACGTTTTGTCTTTTTGAGAGCTTGTGAAGGCAATGAAAAGAATTCCATTTTCTACTATAGGCATTCCCTGTGCTGTTTTAACAGTTGAAACACTGGATGCATCGCGTCCAGAAATATTCTTTCTTAACCTCATGAGGCCACGAAGCATGAGACACTGACTAAGAGCTGGAAGCTGGGTTCGAGATGGACCCTGTGGACAACTCGCCACATGTGTTCCAGTCAATAGACAAGTCCATCCTGAGAGGGCGGCTTCCCTTATCAGCTCTGTGTACATCCAGAAATATTCTTTCTTAACCTCATGAGCCACAAAGCATGAGACACTGACTAAGGGCTGGCAGCTGGGTTTGAGATGGACCCTGTGGACAACTCACCACATGTGTTCCAGTCAATAGACAAGTCCACCCTGAGAGGGCGGCTTCCCTTATCAGCTCTGTGTGTGCTTTGCTACAAAAGCTATTTTGCAACTTTCCAGAGATAGTCCTTCCTGTTTATCAGCAGAGACTTTTCCACATAAATGCTTTTTTTTCCTGTTTGATTGAGACTGAAATGATATTATTACTCACCAGAAGTCATTTGAGCTTTTAACATTTCTCAGCCCCTGATAATTTTAACATTCAAACGCTTCTTATCAACAGAGTGAAAGTTCAGTCGACAGTAAAGATTGGTTATCAATGTCATAGTATCTTTTGGGAAAAAGGAAAGATACAACAAAATCCCCATGAAGCTTTTTACTAGCGCAAGGGTCACAAACTCAGATATTCTGGTCGCCAGGAGGGTAACTCAATGAGAAATAAGTCCAGTAGGCACTGTTGATCTGAGCTCTGTGTCCTATCTGAAGGGTCATCAGGATTCAGGACCAGGCCAGTTCTATGCAGGAGTTAGGTCAGTGTCACCAGATGTCCAGGTTTTGCTGGTTTTGTTTTTAAGAGAAACCAGCAGTCCAGATTCTTATATAATATCTCCATGTTGTTAATGTTGGCATTGAACTTGTTTTAACACCATGTAGTTCTAATGAAACCCATGAGTGACTTGATGACCTTGGTTCTAGCTGTGGGCCTTAAATCCTAAGAGTTCAATAAACAGTCATTGAGCTCTTGTCCGTGCCAGGTACTGTGATAGGCACCAGAGATTCTAAGACAAATGCCACCCAACACCTGCCTTAGAGGACCTCGCTCGGATCACAAGTGCAGGAGGCAAATAATTATTATCTAGAAGGATAAAATGAAATTAATCATGGAATATCACACATATTCAATTAAAAATCGTGACATGTGTTGTAAAATAAAAATGTGCATAGCACAGTGAGAGATCAGGGAAGCAATAAGCTTGCATTTAAGTTGACATCAAGCATGAGCACACACTTATTCAAGGCAGGAAGAGAAGAAGAGCACCCTGGGCAGAGGGAATATTGTCTGCAAAGATCTGAGGGAGGAGGGAGCATTGTGTATCAGTCCAGGGAACCAAAGGGGCCCGAGGGAGTGATACACAATGTACGGGGGAAAGATTCACACATAATAGAATGGAGAGAGAAGTAGGAATAGATCATTGTCAGGATTTTAAGCAGGAGCATGGCAAAGTAGGATCTGGGATTTTAAGGAATCATTCTGTCTACAGAGTGGGAAACAAAGCAAGGCTAACAAGCCAATAGTGGAGATAATCAGGAATCATAAAAATTACTCAACCCAGCCCTTGTTGGGTGGCTCAATTGGTTGGAGTGTCCTCTGTACACTAAAAAAGTTGTGGGGTTGGTTACAGGTCAGGGCACATACCTAGGTTTCAGGTTCTAGCCTCAGTTGGGACATGTATGGAAGGCAATGGATCAATATTTCTCTCTCACATCTCTCTCTCTTCCTCTCTTTCC